CTTAGTGAACCCCAAATAGTTATGCTTGTGTTTCCTTTCATGGACAAATTTCTTTGGAGGAGATATATGTACTGAACTCAGGGCCTTTTATGTGTTTAGCACACGCTACACCCCCTGCCCAAACTGCTATATTTTTATTAACTTATTTTTTCTATTAATTTTCTATCTGTCCACAATGATAAAAGAGACTGTTACATGCTTTTCTCTATGTGGCTGTGACTTGCCATCGGGGCTATTTTTCTTTTCTTTTCTTTCTTTTTTTTTTGGTGGGATTGGGGTTTGAACTCAGGGCTTTGCACTTCCAAAGCAGGCGCTCTAACATTTGAGCCACTCCGACATTCTGTTTTGCTCTGGTTATTTCGGAGATGAGGTCTCTCAAACTATTTGCCCAAGCTGGCCTCAAACCTCAATCTTCCTGATCTCAGCTGTGTAGAGTAGGAGTGAGTCACCAGTACCTGGCTTTTTTCTTTTCTTTCTTATTTTGCTGGTACTGGGGTTTGGGCCTGGTGCTTGCTCAGTAGGCACTCTACCACTTGAACCATACCCAGCATCCTGGGTGTCCTCACAGGGATCTGAGGCTATGCTCCTTCACCCAGCCCCTCCTCCACTGTGTGCATCCACACAGTGGATGCTTTCAGAGCAGGGAGTCACATCCCGTTTCAGTCAGGGTTCTTTCCTCTGAACGGTGGCTGGCAGCACGACTCAGACCCACAGCGTAATGTTCATCCTGGGACTTCGCTATTTTCCTGGGAATGCCAACATTGGGCTGCTTTTTTCTGCGTGATAGTGGAGTTTGAGCTCAGGGCCCATGCTTGCTAAGCAGGGGTTCTACCACTCGAGCCACACCTCCAGTCCTACATTGGACTTCTTGTTTCCTGGGCTTCTGTTCCTCTTTCTTGATGACGCCCTCAATTCAATAGTTTCCTCTAAAGGGGAGATGAAATCCTGTAGTTCTACCCCACAGTCTGGCTAGGTATAGGATCCTAAAATGAAGACAGTTTCCTGCAAAAAAATATATATATATATTTTTTTGGCTATACTGGGGTTTGAACTCAGGGCCTACAATTTGAGCCACTCCACCAATCCTGTATTGTGATGGGTTTTTTTGAGATAGGGTCTTGCCAACTATTTGCCCAGGCTGGCTTTGAACCACGATCCTCCTGATCTCTACCCTGCAAAATTTTGAGGCCATTTTCCTTTATTTATTTATTTATTATTATTTTGTGTGTGTGTGGGGGGGGGGTACCAGGGTTAGAACTCAAGACTTTTCACTTACTATCCCTTTTACTCTGATTATTTATTTGTTTGTTTTTATTTTTGAAGCAGGGTTTTGTTACATAGCTCAGGCTGGCCTCAGACTCTCCTTCTGCCTCCTGGGTGCTGGGATTACAGACATATGCCATCATGCCGAGTTTTTTTCCATTGAGATAGGGTCTCTCAAACTTTTTTCGCTTAGACTGGCCTGGAATGACAATCCTCCTGGTCTTAGTCTCTTAAGTAGTTAGGATTTCGGGTGTAAGCCACTAGCACCCAGCTATTTTGTTTTCCTTAATTCCAGTGTCAACTTTGAGGATCTGGCATTATTTTTGTTCAATTTTTAGTTTCTCTGGTTTTTTGGGGAGATTGTTGTTGTTTTAGATTTTGATTTTTTGACAGTGTCTCCCTTATAGCCCAGCCTGACCTCAAACTCACAGTCCTCCTGCCTCAGTCTCCTGAGTCATTTCTATTTTCAAATGTGACCCTTTTGGCCATAGAGGAGAGTATATACGAGAAGCTTTTAGAATCATCTCCTTCTCCCCTGGTGTTCCAAAAAAATGTCTGTTGATTTGGTTTGGTTTTTGGCAGTATTGGGGTTTGAACTCAGGACTTCATGTTTGCTAGGCAGGCACACTACCACTTGAGCCACTCTACTCCACCCATGATGTACCTTTTTAAGACATACTTTGGTATGATTTATATATAGCAAAATGCAGGCGTGTAACTAATGCATCGAGCCATAGAACTCTGGGCCCCTCAAAACTGCCCTCATGTTTCTTGTAAGCAAGGCCTCATGGAGGGTGAGCGATAACTTTCCCTCTGTGTGAAATGTACATGCGTGGTTCCCATGGTCTGTACTCTCCTGTGTGGCTTCCTCACTCGCATTCTGTTCATATGATTCATCTGTGCTGTGCATTGTGAAGGTGTCTCATTGGTGTGTAACATTTCATTATGTTGATAAACCCCTATTAACCTATCCATTCTATTGTCCATGGATGTTGCATGAGCGGGTTGGTTCTGGGGTGCCCTCTCCACATACAGATACCAAAATCTGAAATTGAAGTCCTGCACTTTTGCAGTTCTGGGGTTTGAACTCATGGCCTTGCACTCACTAGGTGACACCCCAGCCCTGAAATCTTGCACTTCTGCAGAGATTGTTATTCTCATCCTTTATATGAAATAGCAGCCAGGCGTGGTGATGCATGTCTGTAATTCCAGCTGCTCTGGAAGTTGAGGCAGGAGGATGGCAACTTAGCAAGACCCTGTTAAGGGATGGAGATGTGGCTCAGTGGTAGAGCCTGGCCTAGCCTGTGTGAGGCCCTGGGCTCAGCGCCCCATACTGCAAAGAAAGAGATGTAGTATTAGCATATTGCCTATATGATCTTCCCCTACACTATTTTTTTTTAGAAAGGGGGATCAAACTATTTTATTAATGGTCTTGTAGTGGGGGAGGGGTTGAGGAAGCACTGAGAAGGACGAGACCCTATGTCCTCAGCTTGGTCCCACCCCCCCTGTGCTTTAAGCCACGTCTGGATTGCCTGTAACACCCAGTCCAAGATACCATCTCTGGCAATAGTTGTTGCAGTGGATTACTTCAGAAGAAAAAAGGTGTGTACCCAGGTGCCAGTGGCTCACACATGTAATCCTAGCTACTCCAGAGGCAGAGATCAGGAGGATCATGGTTCAAAGCCAGTCTGGGCACATAAGTTCTCTAGACCCTATCTCAAAAATACCTAATACAAAAATGGTTGGTGGAGTGTCGCAAGGTGTAACGGTGAATACAATTTTTTTTTTTGTTTTGTTTTGTTTTGGTGAGACTGGGGTTTGAACTCAGGGCTTCCTGCTTGCAAAGCAGACGCTCTACTGCTTGAGCCACACCTCCAGTACATTTTGCTCTGGTTATTTTTGGAGATGGGGGTCTCTTGAACTATTTCCCCAAGCTGGCCTTGAACTGTGATCCTCCCAACCTCAGCCTCCTAAGTAGCTAAGATTACAGGCATGAGCCCCACTAGCGCCCAGCTCAGACACAATTCTTTTAAAAAATATTTTCAATACTTGATTGGTTGAATGCTCAGATGCAGCTCCACAGATACGAGGGTTGGCTGTGTGTTTGGAGGACCATACGTACACAATTCTGTGGGGCATAAACCCTGAGGAGGAATCTCTGGGGCATAGGGCAGGCAGTGGCTTTGCTATGCAGGTACTAGGAAACAGCTTTCCAAGCTGGTTGTGCCAATTTCCACTCCCATCAACAGCCTGTCAGTTTACACTGTCACATAACCCCATCAACACTCAGTAATGCCAGTCTTCTCCATGGTAGCCATTTGGATAGGTGTGGAGTGGCATTGCATAGTTTTGTTTGTTTGTTTAAGAGAGGGTCTCACTATGTAGTCCAGGCTGGCCTCAAACTCAAGATCCTTCTCCCTCAGCCTACCAAGTGCTGGGATTGCAGTCACGAACTACCACACCTAGCTGTTTAAACAGCTTCATTGAGATATAACTCACATAAAAGTCACCCGTTGTAAGCATTCAGTTTATTTTTGGGAATTGTGCACAGTGTGCACCCCTCACCACATCAGGTTTTAGAACATTTTTGTTGCTCCAAAAAGTTCACTTGTGCTCATTTGCAGTCATTCATCCTCCTGCACCCAGCTCCAGACACCAGTGGTGGTAAGCTTTCTGGGTGATTGTGATTTACATTTCCCTGATGACTAATAAAACTGAGCCTTTTTTAATTGCCCATTAGTCATTTGCATATCCTCTTTTGAGAAGTTTCTGTTCACATTTTTTGATGATTTTTATATTGAGTTGTTTATTTTACTTATTGACTTGTAGGCATTCTTTATATATCCTGGACATAAGCATTTGTCAGATAAACATACACTCTGTGTTTTGCCTTTTTACTTACTTGGGTTTTTAAATTTTATTTATTTATTTACTTTTGTTGATACTGGGGTTTGAACTCAGGGCTTCCTGCTTACTAGGCAGGTGCTCTATCACTTGAGCTACTCTGCCAGCCGTTTTTGTTTTTTGTTTTTTTTTTTTTTTGCAGTACTGGGGCTTGAACTCAGGGTCTGCACCTTGAGCCACTCCACCAGCCCTTTTTTGTGATGGGTTTTTTTGAGATAGGGTCTCATGAACTATTTGCACAGGGCTGCCTTTGAACTGCAATCCTCCTGATCTCTGCCTCCTGAGTAGCTAGGATTACAGGCGTGAGCCACCACTGCCCAGCTGCTATTAGTTGTGGGTAGGCCTTAAAGGTGTACTTCTGTGGGTGACTGGGAGCCCTTTTGGCCTTTGTCCTCCTAATTCCTTCTCTCTGGACTCCTGTTCCTTCACTTTTTCCTTTAGTGACCCATCATCACTCTCCTGGGCTCTGCTTAGCAAGTCACCTCCTCAAGGAAGTCTTCCCTGATTGTATCCCTATGGTCTATCCTGTTTTATCACCATCATTGAATGAACAGGAAGCTGCTGCAGGGAAGCTTTTATTGCACCCCAGGGTCACTTGACATAGGGACTGACTTCCTTGCTCTCCCAGCCCTCAACAGCAGGCTGACACAGAGAAATGATGCATGGCAGAGGGAGCAGAGGGTTACAGAGAAACCCACTGCCTTCCTGGGCTGCAGAGGACTGGCAGCCTGGTGGGGTGGGGCCAGGGTCTGCTGTCCGCATTGGGCCACAGCTATGGGTGTTCAGGACAGTTGGCATTTGATCAGCCTGACTCCCCACCCCCACTGCTCCAGACAGACCCGGTGCGGCTGACCCAGCTGTATGAGCAGGCACGCTGGGACCTGCTGTTGGAGGAGATTGACTGCACTGAGGAGGAGATGATGGTGTTTGCAGCCCTGCAGGTACCTGGGGGCCCTTGGGTGCTGGTGGGTGCTGGAGGGTCCCAGGCAGGGAGGGCCTGAGTTGAGGGTAGGGATTGTTGGGGAGGGGGTGTCTCCAGGAAAGCCCAGGCTGGGCTGCTGGACTCAATCTCCCTGGCCACATGTCCCTAGTATCACATCAACAAGCTGTCCCAGAGTGGAGAGATGGGCGAACCAGCCAGTGCAGACCCGGGGCTGGATGACCTGGATGTAGCCCTGAACAACCTGGAGGTGAAGCTGGAGGGTTCGGCGCCCACAGATGTGCTGGTGAGGAGGCACTCAGGTTCACAGCTGAGGCCGGGGCCAAGGATAAGGGGACTGGGTCCTTTCTGACTCCTCTCCTTCCACAGGACAGCCTTACCACCATCCCAGAACTCAAGGACCATCTCCGAATCTTCCGGTAAGTTTGAGACCCTTGTGGAGGGAGGGATTGAGAAAGACAAATGTTCCCAAACCTCCTTTTCACTCCCAGGCCCCGGAAGCTGACTCTGAAGGGCTATCGCCAGTACTGGGTGGTGTTCAAAGAAACCACGTTGTCCTACTATAAGAGCCAGGATGAGGCCCCAGGGGACCCCGTTCAACAGCTCAACCTCAAGGGTGAGTTGGCAAGGCAGGGCACACCTGTGGGCTGGGCAACTAAATGCTCTCACCCAGCCTGGTTCCTCCTGGGGACCAGAGAGGACGTGCTCTGTCCTGAGGTGGCCGTGGGGGCTGGCTTTTCCATGGGGGCCTCTCAGGCAGGCCTCCCTCTCTGAGACCTCTCAGCCCCCCTTTCTTCTCCCTGCAGGCTGTGAGGTGGTCCCCGATGTCAATGTCTCTGGCCAAAAGTTCTGCATCAAACTCTTAGTACCCTCCCCTGAGGGCATGAGTGAGATCTACCTGCGGTGCCAGGATGTAAGTGAGGCTAGAGGAGGACCAGGGACAGAAACCACCTGGGGGCTGGGGCCAGGGCTTGGCTGGTCCCTCACCACCCTCCCTGTCCTCCACCCCAGGAGCAGCAGTATGCCCACTGGATGGCTGGCTGCCGGCTGGCCTCCAAGGGCCGCACTATGGCGGACAGTAGCTATGCCAGTGAGGTGCAGGCCATACTGGCCTTCCTCAGTCTGCAGCGGGCAGGCGGCGGGGGTTCTGGCAACCACCCCCAGGGACCTGATGCCTCTGCTGAGGGCCTCAACCCCTATGGACTTGTTGCCCCCCGCTTCCAGAGGAAATTCAAGGCCAAACAGGTACCAGAGGATATGCTGGTGGGAATGCCCACAGCAATTGTCAAGCCAGCCTTGACCCCTGGATCTCGCGTACTCTTCCTTGGGAAAGCCACATACTTACTTCCTCCTTCTCCTGCTGTGTCCCTGAGAGCACCATAGGAGTGGTCACAGTCCTGGTGCCCATGTCCACATCAGGGCTGTCTCAGCCCACATATGCTGAGGGGTGGGAGGTACACCATGATGACCCCACAATGGGTACTGCCCCTTTCTGGGGCTCGCATCTTGTCTGACAAGACAGGGAGACAAGTACCCAATGGGGGTACTTTGGGGGAGGGGAGTCCCTACCAGCTTGTCACCAGTTTGGCCTTGCAGCTGACCCCACGGATCCTGGAAGCCCATCAGAACGTGGCCCAGCTATCACTGACTGAGGCCCAGCTGCGCTTCATCCAGGCCTGGCAGTCCTTGCCCGACTTTGGCATCTCCTATGTCATGGTCAGGTATGATCCCAGCCCCACCCCACCCTGCCAAGCCTGTTCTCTGCCCTCACCTGCTACCTGCTGCTTTGTGCTCACATCCCCAGAGTGGGTCCCAGGCAGATGTCCCAAAGTCTCCCCTTTCCTGTTCTCTTGGTGGGCAGACAGACCTTGCTTGGGGCACCCCCCATTCTGTACCCCCATAGCAAATACGAGAAAGAGACAAGTGCTCAGGCCAGGAAAGCAAGTGACTCAGTGCCTGTCCCAGCTCTGCCATGGACATGTCCCTCTCTGGGCCTCAGTCAGCTGTGCTGCAGACCAGGGCTGATGACGTGGGATGCTGCTACAGGGAGCAGCCCTCTTGCCTATTCATTTCCCAAGCCTGCAAAGATGAGGTGGGCAATGGGTGATGACCATGACGACCACACACACCCCACACAAAATTACTTCTTAAAGACACAGGCTACTTGTCTAACCCTGCTAAGTGCTATTATAATGATTTTGGGTTTTTTTTTTTTTTTTTTTGGCAGTATTGGGGTTTGAACCAAGGGCCTCTGGCTTGCTAGCCCTTTTGTTTATATTTCGTTTTTGAGACAGGGTCTCCCTACGTTTTCACCCGGCTGGCCTTCAACTTTCAATCCTCCTGCCTCTACCTCCTAAGTAGCTGGGATTATATACATGCACCATCACAGCCACTCTGATAATGATTCTTTTAATAACCCCATTCTCCAGATGAGGAGCTTGAGGCCCAGAGAACCTAAATGACTCACTCAGTATTACCCAGCTGGGGAGATGCAGGGCTGGGATGTGAGCACTGCCCTGTCTCCCTCCTTTGCACTGGCTCTGGAGCGCTATGCACGCTTTTTGAAGTGGGCTCTGCCATGCAGCATGGAGCCGTTGCTCACACTCTCTCCCCTGGGGGTCAGGTTCAAGGGCAGCAGGAAAGACGAGATCCTGGGCATTGCCAACAACCGACTGATCCGAATTGACTTGGCTGTGGGTGACGTGGTCAAGACTTGGCGCTTCAGCAACATGCGCCAGTGGAATGTCAACTGGGACATCCGGCAGGTGGGCCAGAGAGAGGGTAGGAGTGGGACAGGTGGCCAGGCCATACCCCACCAGGGCAGGATAGGACGGCTCCCTTATTCCACCTGCCCACTGGCCCTCTGACTGCCCATCTGCAGGTGGCCATCGAGTTTGACGAGCACATCAACGTGGCCTTCAGCTGCGTGTCTGCCAGCTGCCGGATCGTGCACGAGTACATCGGGGGCTATATTTTCCTGTCAACTCGGGAGCGGGCCCGCGGGGAGGAGCTGGACGAGGACCTCTTCCTGCAGCTCACAGGGGGCCATGAGGCTTTCTAAGGGCAGCCTGACTATCTCTGCTCTGCTCGCCACCTGCCACAACCACTCCTAACCCCAGACCCACTGGGCTTCACTACCCCACCCCTCTTCAGGCATGTGTCCAGTTGGGCAGACAAGAGCCCTGGCTGACCACTCTCCAGCCCCTAGTCTAGGGAGGGTGGGCCTTGAGCTGGTACAGGGCTCCGTTCCTTAGTCTGAGTGGCTAAAGCACTGATCTTCCTACCTATAGTTCCCTGAGCAAAGGGAGACCAGGGGCAACTAAAGAATGAGAAATCCTGGTTTCAAACTGGAGGTTTTTTGTGTGACTGTTTTGAATTATTTTTTTTTCTTTTATTCTTTTGGTGGTACTGGGGATTGAACTCAAGGCCTCACGCTTGTTAGGCAAGTACTCTACTTGTGCCACACCCCAGCCTTAAATTTCGTTTGTATAAATAAATATTTTATTGTTGGACCATCCTTCTTCCTCTGGAGCTGTGCTTGGGGCCACTCTGACACTCTGTCTCTTTATCACCAGCCAAGGAGAGGGGTTTTCCTGAGATAGAGACAAGAGTTACTTAGAGAAAGGGAGAGATCTAAGTCAGCCTGGGGTTGAGGTTGGGGGCTGAAGAAGAGGCTGAGGACAGAAGAGCACAGGCTTCAGGCACAAAGGCTGGGGTGGTGGTTCTCACGGGTAGGGCGCAGCTGCAGGGCCTCCTTGAAGTACTTGGGAAGCAGGAAGCCATCAGAATTCCCTGGAGTAAGGATCACCCCGTTGGCAGAGCAGAAGAAGGGGATTCCATCTGCTGACAGAGCTAGTGCTGTAACTCATGTCCCCAGTGCGCCACAAAGGCCTAGGGTAGTGCCTGCTGTACCCACGCTCACCTGCCAGGGCCAGGGGGCCATTGATGAAGACGGCCAGTTCACAGTTTGGACGCATGCCTGCAGAGACAACTGGTGCTGGGGCCTGGGGCTGCAGTCAGCAAACCTGGGCAGAATGGGGCCTAGGGATGGGGTGGAGGAAGGGTGCTGACCCACGTAACGCAGAGGGTGGCTCACACAAGGGGGACTGCGACCCCTGGAGGGGATCTGGGTGGACGGGGTGGGTAAGGAGGGACACTGACCACTGGTCACACCAGGGTCCCCAAGCAGTCCTGGGGCCAAGTGGATATGCGTCCTTCCTTGGCAAGACAAGCCATTGAGCAGGATGGATGGCCAGTGCTTCCAGAATGTACCATGGACTAGGATTGGGGGCAGGGCCTGTGGTGTCTCCAAGGGCATCAGCTCCAACTCAGGTACCTGGGATTGGTGGTTGAATGAACGGCAGTGACTCCTTCATGGTCCAGGTTCCAGCTAGCTCTCCCACCTGTCCCCTTGGCACCTACCTGTAGAGAGTGACCCTGATTGGCCCGGATGAGAGGGCCAGTGCTGGGATCTCCTTGCTTCAGGGCAAACCGTTGCTTCCCATTGGTCTCCACCACCCGCTGCACATCCTCAGCTGAGAAGCTGTGGAACTGGGGTAGCTGCAGGAGGTGGCCCAGGGGCACGAAGCCATCTGCAGGCAAACAGATGCTCAGGAGTGACCTTGCTAGAACCAGGGTCTCAGTTAACAGGAAGCCACAGGTGGCTGGAACAAAGGCTGTGTGACTTTTAGAAAGTCTCCCTTCTCTGGGCCTCAGTTTCCTCAGGATTCCTGAGGAGGATCTGCCTTAGGGAGGGTCACATGGATAAAGTGCTTAGGACCTGGTCTAAAATAAACATCAGTTGCCTCAAAATCCCCTACCCCCAGTGCCCAAGGAATGAGTGTGTACTGGGGCCACTTAGCTGGAAGAGAAATTACCAAGCCTGGCCCAGAAAGGGGCTCCTCTCCCAGAGGACATGATACGGAGCTCCAGCCCCCATCCTCCCAGAACCCACTGTGCCTTCCTCATTGCAGTGGTGAGTCACGGCAGAGGGGGAACAGACAGGCTCATATTGCTCTCCCAGCTTCTAAGACCCTCACTTACCAGCTCCCATGGGAAGACCCAGCTTCAAGGCCCCATGGCGCAGGGCATACGACAGAGCCTTGGAAAGTTGCACGTCTCTGTCCTGAAAAAAACCCAGCGGTAGCCTGATAGCCTAGGACTCTATGATGACCCTGTCCTGCTACCCTCCCTAAACCCCCAATGATCTGCTGCAGCAGGAGATCAGAGGGATAGGAGTCCTCCTGTGGTCTCAGGGACCAATTTGATCCATCAGTGCCCCGCCCCCACGCCACCAGGAAGCCAGGGCTCAGTCCCCTCCCGGTCCTGCCACCATGGGGGTGAGGACGGAGGGGGCGCACCTGCTCCCGAGGTCTGTGAGCTCTTCTCCCCATAGGACCTGCTGTTCTCTGTCTCCTTCCTCCAGAGGAGCTCATGGCCAAGACCTTTGTGGAGCAGTGACAGTGGAGATTGTTTTAAGGGCCTTCCCGTGTCCCCGCCCTGCTCATAAAGTCACAAAGGCTCAGGAACTGAGAAGCAGATACAAAGCTCATTAAATTCGCTTCCCACCCTAAACCCCTGGTGCAGATAGGTAAACTAAGACCCAGCTGGTGAAACTTGCCCAAGGTCACACTAGCAGCCACGAGGCCCAGGAGAACCGAGCCCCGCGCTCCAGGCTGGTGGCTGTGTTGGCAAGGCGGCCTGGAGAAGGCGTGCAGGCTGACACTGGGGAAGGACCCGCCCCGGCCAGGACCTCGGATATACCAACCCTGGGCGCCCCCCGCCTCCCGAGAGCCCGGACCGGCCAATGAAAAGCCGCGGAAGAAAGGGGCGGGCACTTCCGCTTTAGGAAAAGAGGCGGAGCCTATGGTCCCAGCTGGCTGGTGAGTTCCGAGTGCCTGCTGACGTTGGAGCTTCCGGACCCTGGGAAGCGGTCCTGGCGTGTTCCGGGTTGGAGGCTGGATTCCCGGGTTTGGTGGACATGAGCATTTTGGGGACCGAGGGCCTCTGGGTGGTAGGGATGCCCAGGAGTCCCAGGGATTTCTGGCAGTAGGAGTCTCGGACTCCGAGCTGGGCTTGAGGGCCCTTGCTCGGATGATAGGCCACTAACCGCCCAAGGAGTGGTCAGGAAGTAGTCAGGAGTGGTCAGAAGAGCTGAATTTCAGGAAGTGTGTAGCAGAGGAGGTCAGCAGCCTGGCTCGGGGATGGCTGTATGTTTCCTAGGGTGACAGCCTGGCTGTGTCCTCTCCCAGAACTGCTCTGTCCAGACCATGGACCCTGAAGTGTCCCTGATGTTGCTGTGCCCTCCTGGGGGACTGCCCCAGGAACAAGTAGGGGTGGATTTGAGCCCAGCCCACGACCGTCGCCCACTGCCAGGAGGGGACAAGACCATCACCGCCATCTGGGAGACTCGGCTACAGGCCCAACCCTGGCTCTTTGATGCTCCCAAGTTCCGCCTGCACTCAGCTACGCTGGCACCCATTGACTCGCCTAGGCCACAGCTGCTCCTGCACCTGGGTCTTACTTCCTACAGAGAATTCCTGGGCACCAATTGGGCCAACTCAGCCTCCTGGCTGCGAGAGCAGGGAGCCACGGACTGGGGTGACAAGCAAGCCTACCTGGCCGACCCATTGGGGGTGGGCGCTGCTCTAGTCACAGCTGATGACTTCCTGGTCCTTCTGCGCCGCTCTTGGCAGGTGGCTGAAGCCCCTGGGCTGGTGGATGTGCCTGGTGGGCACCCTGAGCCTCAGGTGAGATGCCAGGCTGGGTACAAAGGCACAAAGTCCCAGGCAGCTCAGGGGAGCTGGAGCTCTAAGCCCTCCCAGCTCTGGAGGGCTCATCCCTTAAAAGAAAATTGGCCTGGTATTAGAAAGTCTGCTCTGGGTAGCCCTATAGCCCCCTTGCTGCAGTACCCTCTGGGAGGGCTGTCCCAGGAGCAGGAATAGGCCAAGCTGATTGCAGCCTGTGACTGTCACCTCTACTAGGTGGAGGATAAAGGCACTCTGCCATCTAGAAGACCTGGCTACAGGCCCAACTTAAAATAAATCTGCAGGAAGCTAGGGAACATGGTGGTGGTGGGGTGCAATGGAACAGGGTGTCTTACCCCACCCAGTCACCTCTGGTTGTCTATCTGGAAAAGGAGGGCTGGGTTAGGGGGAAGACAGGGTGAGAGAAGGTGAAGGGCAGAGGCTGAACCTCACTTCTCACAGGCCCTGTGCCCTGGCAACAGCCCCCAGCACAAGGACCTCCCCGGGGAACTAGTGGCGCGTGAGCTCTTCTCCAGCGTCTTGCAGGAGATCTGTGATGAGGTGAGTGAGGGGTGGCTGGGACAGCATGGTGGGCCTGAAAGGAGAAAGTAGAACTCAGGGTTTCCACGTTTTCAAAGCAGGTGCAGGTACTCTACTACTTGAGCCATACCTCCAGTCCATTTTGCTATGGTTCCTTTAGGAGATGGGGTCTCACAAACTATTTGCCAGAGCTGGTCTTGAACTGAGATCCTCCATCCAATCTCAGCCTCTTAAATTGCTAGGATTATAGGCGTGAGCCACTGGCACCCAGCCAGGTTCTTCCTCTTTACAGTGGAAACAATGATAGATGTCTTCTTACCTACTCCAAATTTGTTGAAAGAGGAGTACATCAGTCTGTTACTGAATCAGCTTCCCTTAGGTAAAGGAACTTCTCAGGACTATTTGTTCAATCTTTTGCTTTCCATTTTCACATTTATAAAATAAATATCCCAAGATCTTACATTCTGGGATACCAGGCACTTGACTACTAAGACTACAAAACACAAATGTGCCAGGCGCTGGTGGCTCACACCTGTAATCCTAGCTACTCCAGAGGCACAGATCAGGAGGATTGCAGTTCAAAGCCAGCCCCAGGCAAATTGTTCATGAGACCCTATCTCTAAAAACCTTTCACAACAAAATGCTGGTGGAGTGGTCAAGGTGTAGGCCCTGAGTTCAAACCCCAGTACCGCAAACAAACAAACAAAAAAACTGCAAAATGCTGTATAAGGGTAAGGGTAATAGGATGTTCTTCCATTGAGCGGGGTAGATGTGGGAAGTGGACACTGACAGATGGGATCCCCTGCCCCCCAGGTGAACCTGCCGCTGCCCACCCTGAGCCAGCCCCTGCTATTGGGCATCGCCCGCAATGAGACCAGTGCTGGCAGGGCCAGTGCTGAGTTCTACATCCGGTGAGTGGGCTCTGGGATACAGGATCCTAGGTTCTCTGGGGGAGAGGAGGGAGGATGGGTGGAGTTAAGGCAGCTGGGTCCCACAGGGGTCCTGCAGGGGCCAGGCACCCACCAAGCCACCTTCATGTCCTTGTCCAGGTGCAGTCTGACTTCTGAAGAGGTAAGGAACTACTACCTGAGTGGGGGACCTGAGGCCCATGAGTCTACAGGAATCTTGTTTGTGGAGACACAGGTGCGAGGGAGCAAACTGCAGCTTGCTTGGACTCCAGGGTTGGGCCTGCAAGGAAATCTGGGGATGCTCGTGTGGTGGTGGGGGGGGGAGATGGCTGGGAGTGGAGGTGGGGGAGGGCAGAGAATATCCAGGTCTCAGAGTTTGGAGGCACAGCCTTGCCCTCTTCCCCAGGGACCTATTCAGCCCCCTTACCAATGTCTCCCTTGGAATTGAGCAGTGCAGGGGGTTCTGAGACTCAGAAGTTCAGAGCAAAGCCCCAGTAGGAACAGGGATGGAGGCTTGGGTCTCACTGTCTTCCCACAGAAGGTACAGAGATTGCAGGAGACCGAGATGTGGACGGAGCTCTGCCCCTCGGCCAAAGGTGCCATCCTGCTCTACAACCATGTCCAGGGAAATCCTATCTGAGTCGCCCTAGGACCCCAGCTCTATTACCACAACTCGGAAGACAATAAAGGACTTCTTTCTTGGATTCCATTGTCATCTGCTGTTTCCATTAGAGGGGCCGCTGGGGTACCCTGGGTGGGTGAAAGAGACAGGAAGATGTGACCGAAAGGGAATAAAAATAAAAAGCACAACAGCCCAGACTCGGTTTCCCCACTGCAAGCGTGCCTTCCATGCCAAGTTTTGGTGGGGTGAAAACAGCTCTGGGAAATATGTCTCGCTGCCGGGCGAAACAGCAGCTATGTCACCCAGGGGCGGTGACAGGACAAGAACCTCTCCCGAAGGTCAGGTTCCTCAGGTGGGCGCTCGCACCTTTCAGCTGGTCAGCAGGCCGGGTCCTCGCAGGCCGATAGGTGTACGGGGGCGGGCTCTTTGCCACACGTTCATAGCTTTCTGCCCAGTGGGCGTGGCCTGACACACCTAAGCCAATGGGAGCGTGGGGGCGGGCCTCGCATGGCACAGGAAACGGCGACGACCGCGGAGTCTGTGAGTGGGACGGGGGCGGGGCTTGGTTCTGGTTCCGCCTTCGCCCGCCCCCCAAAGGCCATGGGTGCGGAGAGGTCTCGCGTGCTGTTCGGGTGGTCTAGGCCGAGTCAGAGCCGAGACGGGGTTCCGAACACGTGGGACTGATCCTGAGGCCACCTCCGGGCCTGCTTTTAGTCTTCCTTTGCGAGAAACCCGGGCCAGACTCCATCCCTCTGCCTGGGCCTCTGGAGCGCTTGAAGTCTGGTTAGATCTGGTCGCAATACACCCCTCTTAAGTGGCTTCCTTTCCTCAGCTGCCCACCCGCCGCCATGCCGCCCCTGCTGCCGCTGCGCTTATGCCCGCTGTGGCTCTGCCGCCCTCCCACCCGGCTCCTCGCAGCGGCCGCCGGGCAGCGGTGAGTTGGGCTGGGGGTTTCTGTTGAGGGCCTGCCCAACTTAGGCCCTGCCCTGCGTGCTGAGGTAGTTGTAGTCTCTGCCTTCTATGTTAGGTGTCTTACAGGCTTGGTTCAGATAACCCTCACCTTACTCTTGAGGACACTAAGGACCAGAGATTGAGAGATGACCCCGAAGGTTATACAACGGGTCAAATGGCAGGAATTTGAGCCCAGGGCAAACCCGATCCTCTTTCTATAGCTCTAGAGGTTGTCAGGCATCACTGTGCATAACCCACCTGGTAGGAGAGATTGGCTCCAAAGATGCAGATTCCTAGGACCTGCTCTGGACATTCTGGTCAGAGGTAATGAGTGTAGGGGTCAAAATCTGCCTTTTTTCTTCTTTTTTGAGATGGCCATCTCAAGTGATCCTCCTGCCTCAGTCTCCCAAGTAGCTGGGACTACACGCATGGGGCACCGAAGAAACTGCCCTGTTTTGTATTTGTTCTCTGAAGTGCTGGGGATAGAACTCAGAGGTTTGTGTATGCTAGGCAAGGGCTCTACCACTGGGTTACATCCCCAGCCCAGGAAATACGCTGTTGTAAACAAGCTATTCAGGTGTTTGTGGTGCAAGGGAGAAGTCCTGATCACACAATTCTGAAAGAACTCCAGAATGAAGGGCGATCTGGAGCTAGATCTGTCTTGGGACCTGCCTCAGCCTCTTCAGCTCCTAGTGACTGAGTTGAAGGATGAGGCCCAAGAAGGCTGTGAGGATTGGGCAGGGGTCCCCAAAGCCTCTGCAGATTTGGGCCTCTCTCCACAGGTCTGGTCCCAGTAATTATTATGAACTGTTGGGTGTGCATCCTGGAGCCAGTGCCGAAGAAGTTAAGCGAGCTTTCTTCATCAAGTCCAAAGAGGTACATGTGCCTCCCAGGTAGGGAGGGAGGAAGAGGAAGTCTGAGCCAGACGGGTGCACTCCACGTTCCCAGGAGCAGCTAGCTGCCAGTGCCACATTCATTCAGCCTGCATGGCTATAGGAGGGAGGTGCTCAGGGTCTGCCCAGGTAGGAGGAAAGGCTGGGGACCCAGGCCAGGGATCCTTCCTGAGTCACTGCCCTTGGTTTTATTGTCCTGCCTGTCTGTTCTTGAGAAACCCGGACCAAAGCATATGGAGAGTAGGGAGCTGGCAGGTGGGGAGGGCTTGAAAGGTGGGAAGAAGTCCCGATTTCTGACCTCTGGCCTTCTTGAAGGATGGGCAGGCCTGAGAGTGAGGGTCGCTGCCCAGGCAGGGTCCTGAGACTGATATGAGCCCTTGTTGGTAGACATGGTCAGAATGAGTCCTGGGAAGAGAGATAAGGGCACTCCTGTCTCACTGCAGCTGCACCCTGACCGAGACCCTGGGAACCCAGCCCTGCACAGCCGCTTTGTGGAGCTGAGTGAGGCATACCGTGTACTCAGCCGTGAGCAGAGCCGCCGCAGCTATGACCACCAACTCCGCTCAGCCAGCCCCCCAAAGTCTCCAGGAACCACAGCCCATCCCAAGTCTGCCCCACAAACACACAGGTATAATAGACCTGTCCCCACTTGCTTCCACCCCCAAATCTCCTGGGAGGAGAGCCTCATCTCTACCTTGTCCCTTTTCCTTCTCAGAAGCTCCTGGGCACCCCCCAATACTCAATACTGGGCCCAGTTTCCTGGTGTGAGGCCCCAGGGGCCTGAGTCGAGACAGCAGCAGCACAAACACAACCAGCGGGTGCTGGGGTACTGCGTCCTGCTCATGCTGGCAGGCATGGGTCTGCACTATGTCGCTTTCAGGTACATTGCTGTTCTCTCCCAAGTGACGGGCAGAAGGTGGGAGGGAGGCTGAAGCCTTGTGGTTAGCAAGCCAGAGCACTCTATGGCCTGCCTGCTGTGTCTCCCAAGCTGAGAATTGTATAAATTAGGGTTACCTTACTTGGTAAGGGCAGCGCTGCATGAAGGGCTAACCTTGTCATTTTCAGTTTCTCATTATTTGAATGTCAGTCTTTGGTACTGGCTGCCAGGAGGGCTGCAGCCAACCAGAATGGTGCCCAAGAAGCAAAATGCATTGTAACTGAGCCTCACCTCATTTGGCAGTTGCTCATTTGGCAGTTGGTGTCTCCCACTCTCATGTGTGCGATGACGTGGATTTTCTCAGGTGTCAAGATACCTGAAGGCCAGTGTCCATTGCCAGCAGCCTGCCTAGTTCAGTTATGGAAGTGGACATACAACCCTTCCTAGGTTACTGGCAGGAGCACCCCCAGGTGCAAAGCTGCTTACACATCTTCAGCAGAACAGCTCGACCCTTGGGGTGTTAGGGAGACCTGTACGAGCCTGGGCCTCTCAGTGTCCCTGTTCCCATCCATCCCAGGCACTGTTAGTCTGAAGTCCCCACAGATGGAAAGCAATGAGAGACCCTAGAACTGGATGGGGGATGGCAGGACTAAAGGGACATCAGAGACTGGAGTCCCAGGGTTAAATGCAACCCCCTTGCTGCAGGAAGTTGGAGCAAGTCCACAGAAGCTTCATGGATGAGAAGGATCGGATCATCACAGCCGTCTACAACGACACACGAGCCAGAGCCAGGTCTGTCCTTGCTCTGTCCTGCCCCTGCTCCCTGTCCTGACACCACCCTCCAGGATCCCTGTGCCCCAGGTGCTCTCTCTTTCAGGGCGAACAGAGCCAGACTCCAGCAGGAGCGCCTGCAGAGGCAGCAGCAGCCTCCCTCCGGAACTCCCCCAGGCCCTGGGACCGTGCCCCCGGACACCAGCCCCTGAGGGGCTCACCTAGCTGAGACCAGTAGAGTGCCTCTTCCATGCTTCCTGTCAGGACTACACACTCCCTACGACGAGTGCAATAAAGTAATTCTTAGACTACTGTCCGGCTCAATCCTTCAGGCCTGGCGCCCCTGGCCCGGGCCTCGCCTTGGAACAGCGCCCCGCCCTCGGGTTCTGGTGGCGGCGACCCGGGAGCCCGGCCCCCTGGGCGGTGCGTCCCCTTTCCCCTGCAGGGGCGGGAGGGGGTGTGTGGAGGGGGCGGGCCCCGCCGGCGCCTCGTCCCCCCCGCCCCGCCCCCGCCCCACGGCCCGGTGGGGAGCGCGTGTCTGGGTCACATGAGCCGCCCGCCCGCCAGCCCGGGCCCGGCCCCCCGCCGCCCCGCCGTCCCGCCCGCCGCCGCCGCCGCCGCCGCCGCCGCCGCCGCCGTCCGCCCGCCCGTCCCGCTCCTCCGGCCGCCGCCGCTGCGCTGCGCTGCGCTGCCTGCGCCCAGGGCTCGGGAGGGGGCCGCGGAGGAGCCGCCCCCCGCGCCCGGCCCCCGCCCGCCGCGCCCGGGCCCGCGCCATGGGGCTCTGGCTGCCACCGCCCCCCGCGCCCCCAGGCTAGGGCAATGCGGGCGCCCCCGGCTCGCGGTCCCCGCGGGCACCATGAGCCCCCTGCTCCGCCGCCTGCTGCTCGCCGCGCTCCTGCAGCTGGCCCCCGCCCAGGTACGTGCGTCCCCGACATCCCGCGCGCTGGCCGTGCCCTCTCAAGGTTGGCGGAAGTGGAGAGGCGCCCAGCGGCCTCAGCCGAGGGGATCCACGCGTCCGGCCTCGACCTGGGACATCGCGGAGGGCCGGGCATCCCCCGAGAGGTGCCCCTCCGTGCAGGCCCGCCAGCCCAGCCCTGGGGCCACTCCCCCGCCCCACCCCATCTCTGGGCGCCGCGGGGGGGTGGGGGGGCGGAGCTCTCTCAGTCCTGGAGGACCTGGATCGGAACCCACTGTGCCCGCTCCTGACCTGCAGTCCCGAACATGTCCCCATCTCCCCGGGGTTCGGACTTTTGAAGCCACCGGCAGAGGGTGCCTGGTCGGTCTGGGGCCAGGGCAAGTTCCAGGTGGCCAAGAAAGGACAGATAAAGCTAGAGCAGAGATTCTAGGAACAGAGGAATCTAGAAAGATGTCAGAGGAGTTGAAGCTTCCTGACTCAAGGGCAGAGCCCTGGGATAGCCAGAGGTCCAGCCCCTCTATTTAGAGTGCACCGTGGGTCCAGCTCTCTTCTCTCCCACAGGCCCCCATGTCCCAGCAGGATGCCCCTGGCCACCAGAAGAAAGGTAATAGTTGTAACAGCTTTACACCCGTTCTGTACTAAGAGAGTTTGCCACATGCTCTGATTTCATGTCTGTCATCTTGTGTAGCCACAGCGCCCCTATAAGATGCCCATTTCACAGAGGAGGAAATTGAGGCAGAGGGTTACTGGGTTCTTGACAAACAGGGCTGATGCAGACAGGTTGAGCAGTCAGAAGTGGGGGGGTGGCTAGTGGAAGGTGTCTGTGAAAAGGGACTGGGAAGGACAGCTGCTGGGAGCAGCTGCAGGAAACCCAGTAGAACTTAACCCTTATGGATCTGCCCCCAGTGGTGTCATGGATAGACGTGTATGCCCGTGCCACCTGCCAGCCAAGGGAGGTGGTGGTACCTCTGACTATGGAGCTCATGGGCACTGTGGCCAAACAGTTGGTGCCCAGCTGTGTGACTGTGCAGCGCTGTGGTGGCTGCTGCCCTGACGACGGCCTGGAGTGCGTACCCACTGGGCAGCACCAAGTCCGAATGCAGGTACGGGACGAGTGGGACAAATGGGTTGAGGGGTCACAGGTGCTCTGGGGGCTAGGCAGGCCAGAGACTGAAGCACAGGAAGCTGTTAGATGAGCTGTTCTCCCTGTAGCCTATGGAGCACCCCATTTCTCTCTGTCCCCATTATCCCCCACCTCCCTCACTGTCTCTCCCCTGTTCTCCTGACCACAGATTCTCATGATCCGGTACCCAAGCAGTCAGCTGGGGGAGATGTCCCTGGAAGAGCACAGCCAATGTGAATGCAGGTGCCAGCCAGGCTCAACTCCTAGGCTTGCAGAGTCCAGGCGTGGGGGCGTTGGGCACGGTGGTGCACCACAGTGGGGACCAGGTTTCTAAGCATGGAGCCAGAGGGAGGCCTGGGGTCTGGAGGAAGACAAGCAGGATGCTTGGATTTCCTGATCCACCACCTTTTTGTCTTTTTCTCTCTTACTTTTCAGACCAAAAAAAAAAGAGAGTGCTGTGAAGCCTGACAGGTGAGTTCCTTGGGCTCCTGCAGAAGTGGGGTTGGAGCCCAGGCCCAGCACCCACGATAGGACGTAGGGGTGGGCCAGGGGGTGCATGAGTGAGACAGAAGCTGTGGTCTCCTGTCCTCCTTCTCTTCCCACCTGTCTCCCTCTCCCTTTGCTCTGCCCCCTCCCCCCCCAAATCTGTACACTCTGCCCTGACCCTAGCTCCTGGGCCGGATCTTCCTTCCTGCCCCAGACATGTCGCTTCTCCTCCTAGGGTTGCCACTGCCCACCACCGTCCCCAGCCCCGCTCTGTTCCGGGCTGGGACTCTGCCCCTGGAGCACCCTCCCCAGTTGACATCACCCATCCCACTCCAGCCCCAGGACCGTCTGTCCACGCTGCACCCAGCGCCGCCAGCGCCCTGACCCCCGGACCTGCCGCTGCCGCTGCCGACGCCGCAGCTTCCTCCGTTGCCAAGGGCGGGGCTTAGAGCTCAACCCAGACACCTGCAGGTGAGGAGTTCCTGGGGTGTCACTTGTTTGTGAAGGCTTGAAGGTCATGTCCTGGAGCAGGTCCAGGTGAGCCTGCCAGTGGGAAAAAGGCCAGGGAAGGGGAAGAAACTGCTGAATGTGTTGAATAAACATTTATTGAGTGTCTCCTGGCATGGGGATTGGCAAAAACACAGCTCACATTTGATTTCTGGAGTCAGACGACAGAAAAGCGGATGCTGGGCACTCAGGTGGGAGCACCTGACATCATCTCCGAGCAGTCAGCTGTCTCCTGGAGGAGGTGACATCTGCCTGGAATGGAACTGAGGAAGACAGTTTCCCCATTTGCAGAGCTCTGGGCCTTCCCACAAGCCCCTGTGACATTTGCCCCTCTGTGTGGGGTCCCAGAGACCAGGGGTGTGTGGGAATCCTTGTTGTCAGTGCTTCTCACCACCACTGTGTTCCACAGTGAGGCCATGGGATGACATCCTATGGTCCAGATCGGGGTGGGGGGAGCTTCACTGGAATGTCAGGAGAGAATGGGGAGTCCTTCAAGAGGAGGCGGGGCTGAGCTCCAGCCAGCATCAACAGATTCCTTCCTCCCCTCCCAGGTGCCGGAAGCTGCGAAGGTGACACATTGCTGTTTAGACTCAGCAGCAGGGCCACTTGCCTCACAGGCTGCACCCCCAGAGAAGATTGGGGATCCCGGGGAGAATGGCCAAGCCCCAAGATCTCCACCTGAACTTTAAGAGGGCTCTCTTGCCTTCCTTTTCTCCCGAGGCTGCCAGCTATCAGAGTTGAAAAGGAGGCGTGACAGCACAAGGGGTCATGGCCCAGTTTAGGGGGGATGGGTTTTTAACCAACCTGTGCATGTAAGCTTCTTACAACTGGCTCCTGGCTCCTCTCACTACAAAGACCCCAAAGCTCTGCAGATTTGGTATGAAAACTGTGACCCCCTAACTCTGATAAAACAGATGGAAGGAACTGTCCCCGCTTGTGTCATTGTTTGCTACTATCCTGACTGGCTAGTTTGGGCAGGAGTGTCTACGTCACTGCCCACTAGACCTGGGCGCATGGAGGAGATGGGGCCTCAGCCTCCGCAGCAGATCCCAGGCAGGCCAGAATCATGGATTCAGCACACCCACACTGTTACTGCTGGGCATGGAGTCCCTGCCTCCCACCCCCCATATCACAAGGATTCTACCTGCTATGGCCATTGAACCTGAGGTGGGCCACTGTCCCTGTCTTTCTATGCCTGTTTCCACATGTGTACATGGAGAGGCAGATGACTGCTGTGGTCAGGGCCACGGGGGTCCAGACAAGTTTGAGTCTGCCTTCACATAATCGAAAAGAACACCTATTTTCCCTGCCTGGCAGAACTTTCAGTGCTGGGTTTTTTGCTCCCTGCAGCTGAGTTCTCAAGCCACACCTGCCCTGTCCCTGTCTCACTCCTGCCTCCCTGAAAAGGAGGTACCAAAGGTCCATGACTGGTGGACTTGGTTTTGAGAGATAAACTTCTCTTGCCCCAATCTATAAGGTCTTCACCTTCAGGTCAGTGGCACCCTGTTCCCCTCATAAGCTGCAATTTGAGACTCCTGGCTTAACCCCCAACTTAATGCCCACCCTCTTCTTGAAGCCTGCAGTACCTGGGGGAGTGGCAAGGCAGTGAACCAGCCTTGGGCAGCAATGCCTCACACTGCTTAAGGAACATCCAGGGGCACAGTTGACTCAACGCAGCCTTCCTGATGGGGGCTTTCTCTGAGGGACTGGGTTGGAGGGTGTGGTCATGGATCTAGGGAGGACCAAGGTAGGAGTGGGTTAAACCATAAGACAATTCCTGATTGCTACTTTCAAGCTGATTTTCTCAGCTATGGTATCAGTGATCAGGCCATGGGCCAGTTGAGCCAGATGAGGGTTTAGGACCCTAGGGCTACTAAGGCCTGAGCCCACTTAGCGCCCCAGATATGGACTATGCTTCCTGTTGGCTTCTTAGTCATTTCTGGAGTTAGTGTTATCTTCATTTGTTAGCTGAGGAAACAGGCACAGGAAGACAAACAAACTGGCCTGGGGACTTGGCCTTAAGTCCTCATCTCCCTAACACTCAACCTAGGCTTAGCTGCCTCCCAACTGCAAGGTTCCTTATTTCAGTTGCCAGGTGCCTACCAGGCCCTGGCGGGTGCAGCATGGTGGAGAACTGGGCAGCTATGAGTGGGTGCTCAGTCTGGGTAGGCAGAGGTGGGCCTGGATGCCGGGAGAGAGAAGAGGGAAGAAACCCTTTGGCCAGGGCCTGGCACTGCACTCTCAGTCCTAAAGAGGCCCTGTGGGGTAGGTGTCATCAAGCCCATTTTACCAGGCATAAGAACTCGATCAAGGTCAACCAGTGGCAGACCCGGAATTCAAGCCGAAGCCTAGACTCTTTCCACAGCAACTAAGGGAGGACTGTGAGTTATGAAGACATCAGGGGCAGGCGGGGTTGCTGTCAGAGAGGCTGGGGAGACATAAAATGGCATCTATAGACCCCCGTCTCTCCCCCCCCAGCCCCCCGCTCCAGGAACCCACTCTCGCTTGACCGGAATGTCACCTCGGCCGGAAGAGTCTTAGCCCTTTCGGAAGTCACTTTCACCAAGCCTGGGTTACCGCTCTGCCGGAAGTGATGCGAGGTCACGTGGCAACTCGGGAGGTGGCGCCAGGGAAAAGCCGCTCCAGGAGCTTGTGGCAGCGGGTTTCGCGCGGTCCAATAAGGGAGGGCGGCGTGGCCCGGCCTGTAGCGACAAGGACGCGCCTGCGCATAGGCGGCAGCACGACCGGGGTTGACTCCGGGGGCGCGGTGAGGAGGTGAGCGGGGGCCACAGCCCGGGCTGGGGGGAGCCGGAGTGCATGCTGGAGGGCAGGCTGGGTCAGGCCGGGCAGAAGCGGGCCGGGGCTCCGCGTGTCAACGAGGGATAGTGACGGGGGAATTGGGGGCTGGGGGCTGAGCTGTCTGGAGATGCCGCAGGGGGTGGGTTCTCACGCCTCACGGGGCGGAGCCCTGGGACTCGGGGCGGGACGCAGAACCGAGACGGGTGGGGTCTCCGAGCCGGAGCCGATAGAAGGAGGAGCTCAGCGGTCAGGGGTGGAGCTAGGACGGCTGGGGGGCGGAGCCTGGCTCTTGGAGGAGGAGCTGGAACAGGCGGAAGGCGGAGCCTCGGGTTTGGAGACCGAGGGAGCCCAGGCCCTGGGGGCGGGGCTTCAGCCTGTGAGTAGCGTGGCTCCAGTTCAGGAAAAGGGGTCTAGCTCTGCCGAAGGCGGGGCTGCAGGGCCGGGGGCGGAACTACGCTCTCTGAGGGGCGGAGCCAAGGAGACAGGCGAAGGGCTAAGTCCGAGTAATGGCTCCGGGCGTCCACGCGGGGGCGGTCTCCGTGGTGGCCGGGCCTGGGGACGCAGTAGGCCGAGAACTCCGCCAGGAGAGGTGGTGTGGGTGGAGCGGGCTCGGCAGCCTGCCGACTCGGGGCCAGTGTGGGTGCCCCGTAGGCCCCCGAGGGCTCAGAGCTGGGGCGGCGCCCCGGGCGGAGGCGCAGGGCCGGGCTGGGGAGTACCTCCGGAAGACCGAGGCTCCCCGGAGCCGCCTAGCGGGGATGTGTGGGTACCTCGGGACCGACCCCCTCCAGCGGCCGCAGAGGTGTGGGTGTGCTGGGCAGGTGGCAGCTGGGTACGGCGTGAGTGGGGCCGCCCGGTTGGGACAAATGCCGTGCAGCCAGATAGGGTCTGGACTTTGCGTAAAGGGACGGGTGGGAACTGAAGAGCAGAGGTGGGGACCGGGAGGGAGGGACGGTCTGGGGATGAGCAAAGGGGCGGGGCCCTGGCTGCTGTGGCCTCCCCTGACCCCCTCCCCTCGCTGCTGGGGTCCTCAGCCAAGCCCCCTTCTCACTGGACTGGTAAGTGTGGCTGCGGAGCTCTGGGGAGAGGGCGGTGACCTGGGACAGGGGGATGTTCAGGGGCAGGCAAGGTACGGTGGGGGTGGCATCCTCCGGGTACCTGCGCATGTTCATGTCCTCCCCACCCTTCTCCCGGTCGGTTGGGTCTGTGCCCACAGAGACATGAGGCTGAGCTGGGTCCTGACAGTAATGTCCATCTGCCTGAGCGCCCTGGCCACGGCCACGGGAGCCGAGGGCAAACGGAAGCTGCAGATCGGGGTCAAGAAACGGGTGGACCACTGTCCTATCAAATCTCGAAAGGGAGATGTCTTGCACATGCACTACACGGTGGGTGAGAGGGCGGATCTTCTGAGGTGGGTGGGGCTTCTGGGGACCAGAATGGATTTGGGAGTCTGGTTCCTTCCCCAACGGGGTGGGTGACCTTGGGCAAGTCCCCTTTTGTCCCTAAATCTTTTTTCATGGTTCTTCCTTGCTCTTTACTGTCTTACTCCCCAGCTAGCATTAGCAGGCAGTGACAGTTTATTGTGAGTCTCCTTCAAGGACTGGGGCCACCAGTGTTGTGGAGCAGCTGAGTGTGTGTGTGGGGGGGTAGGAGTTGCCCCCACTTCTCACGGTCTTCCCATGACCCCATAGGGGAAGCTGGAAGATGGAACAGAGTTTGACAGCAGCCTGCCTCAGAACCAGCCCTTTGTCTTCTCCCTGGGCACCGGCCAGGTCATCAAGGGCTGGGACCAGGGGCTGCTGGGGTGAGTCTGGGGGGTGGGCTGGATATGCGTGGCCTGGTCCAGGAAGGGAACTGTGGGAGGCAAACCTCGGGTGGGGCAGCAGAGCTGGAAGCTTGGGTGCCACGATCGCCTGAGCATGCATTGCCCTGCAGGATGTGTGAGGGGGAAAAGCGGAAGCTGGTGATCCCATCTGAGCTGGGTAAGAGGTCCTTCCTGGGAGGGGAGTTTCAGGATGTGTTGGGGAAGGGAGAAAGTGGCTTCATTCTCATTGGTCCCATCCTGTCCAGTCACTATACTATGTGCCTCCCCCAACTGGCTTGTGTCCAGCAACAAAGACAGGGCAAAACTTGGGGACTCAGCTAGTGACCACCTTCTGCCCTCTACCAGGCCCTTGGCATCCCCTCCCATCTCTACTACACCCTCTATTTCTGGCTGTCATGCTGCCTCATGATCACCCCTCTCTGCCTGAGCTAGAAGGGGGACTGAACATAGCTCACTTTGTTTCTTTGTGCATCTTTGACAGGGTATGGAGAGCGGGGAGCTCCCCCAAAGATCCCAGGTAACACCCTTTCTTAACCCTGCTCCCTAGCCATCCCTGTGTCTGGGACCCAGATTCAAGTCCTACCCCACTTCTCCCTCCAGGTGGTGCAACCCTGGTGTTTGAGGTGGAGCTGCTGAAGATCGAGCGTCGTTCAGAACTGTAGGAGCTGCTCAGAGGTGCAGGGGGGCATCAGGGACCAGACTGTTTAAAAAACAAAAACCTTAAAAACCCAAAAAGCGAGTCTGTGGATCTTTTTTCTGGCATTACAAAGGTTTGAACTTAGGGGCTTCGTGCTTGCTATGCAGGTGGTCTACCGCTTGAGTCACTCCACCAGCCCCTTTTTTTGTGTTGAGCATTTTCAAGATAGGGTTTCAAACCTCAGTCCTCCTGATCTCTACTTTCTGAGTAGTTAGGATTATAGGCATGAGCCACTGGCGCCTGGCTGAGCCTCTGGTTCTTTCTGGGCCCTGAGAGGCTTAGGTTAAGACTACAGCTTCAGGGTTGGGGATGTGGCTCAGTGGTAAAGCACTTGCCTACCATCTGAGGCCCCCCTGTTGGATCCCCACAACTTCAGCCTCCCCTCTCCCTGGGCACTTCTCCAATCCCCTCTCCTTTCCTGACTGCAGGGCCTTGGGGTCCAGGCTGAATGGCATGGGGACCCTTGACCAGAGGGAATAAAGAGCATTCAAGCCTGCCAACAGCAACCCTGCTCCCTCCAGCTCCCCAGGCACTTCCAGCACCTGGTCTGGGAGCCAGCACTGGGCTATCGCCATGGCTGCGTGGCCCTCAGGAAGGCCTGCAGACAACTGGGGAGAAGCTAAGCTGGCAGCAGTTAGAGCAGTGTATCCCCCTAAAAGACCAGCCAAGACTGTGAGCTGCTCCAAAGGCATAGCCTAGCTTTATTAAAGGGCCCGTGCCGCAGAGTCAATATAAAAACACAAAAAGTCCCATCAGTTTAATAACAATAAAAAACCCCAAAAATGGAAAACTGAGGGGGCAAGGGAAGAGGCCCCTAGGCCAGGGGCACAGGGAGCCCTGCTCATGGCACCAGGCCTGGCTGCAGGGTCCCTGGTATTGCTGTTGCTACGAGGTCGGGGGCCAGCGATTGTCCTGTGGGAGCCACCATTCACATGGGTCAGGGACCCTTACTTCTTCTGGGGTGTGCTCAGCTTCTGCATGCCCCGGATCTTGTCCAGCAGGCCAGAGATAAAGGCCTAAACAAGAGAGGGCCATTAGGAACACCAGACTCCAAACTGACAGGTGTCGGCTCCCCCTCACTCTACCCTCTGGGGAAACCACTTACCTCAGTGGGTTTGTAACAGTCAACCAGCAGTTCCTGGTGGGTGAGAAAGGGAGGATGAGCAGACAGTTCTCAGGGATCAGCCTACAGTTATCTACACCCATTTCCAAAGGACTGGGGCCACCCAGAGGCATGGGAGATTTCACAGCTAGGCAAGTGCCCATTTTCCAGAGGCAGAAGCTGAGGCCCAAGATTACAGAGCTGGCTGACCCAGACCAAAGAAGGCCTGCCTCCAGGACTTGCTTCCCCAAGGGGCAGTGCCCTCACCTTGACCCTGGCAGCCCGGGTATCATCACTCTCCATGTCCAGGAGCTCATCCACGTCAATCTCCAACTCTGGGATCTCCTCTTCCTGGGGTAGAGGAGGAGAGGGAGAGACAAGGCCTGAGTCAGAAGATGGCATGGAGAGGGGCTCTCAGGCTGAGGTCCCTTCCTACCTCAGGACCAGCCCAGCCCTCTGCCCAGCAGAGGACAGCTGCTCTTAGCAGGAAAACAGATCAGGCCTGTGCCAAGGCAAATTGCCCAATGGTGGGGGAAAACTTCCTGTCCCTGCCAGTGGGCAGCAGGGGCGCCAGACAAGGCCAGACAGCCTGAGCTGGGGACCTTGGGCTGCGAACCTGGCAGATGTGTCTCCCCAACATCCGGGCCCCCCATCTCACCAGTGCACTGGTGAGGCCAGCTGTCCCAGTTCATCACAGCCCCCTCCCCCAAACACCTGTCACAGCTTCATGGGAGTGAGGAGAGGAAGTGATGGGTGAGAGGGTCAGTGGGAAGGACCCATGCCTACTAAAGGGGAAACAAAGAGCCCATGCTTAGGGAAGGGAGGGGGCGCCCACCACCCTTCCCTGCCAGGGAAGAAAAAGCTATCCCGTTTGGAACCAGCTGCACTCCAGGGCTTAGGGTAGGCAATACAGGGCAAGCCCACTCCTCCACCCTGCCCCCCAGGCCCTGAGTCACCATGTGAGCAATCAGGGAGTCATGGGGTGGAGAACCAGAGCGGGCTAGCCTGCCCACACACCAAGATGGAGCTCCAGGCTAGCCCATTAAAACAACTCTGACCCTTTATAGTACCCTCCCCAGCCATGCTAGTGTATTTCAACCGCTAAGCTAGCTAGCACTAGGCAGGTTAAGGCTTCCACTGCCAGCCCAGGCTAGCCCCCTGCCTCCTGTCCGAGCTCAGGCTAGCCCTCCAGGACCTGAGGACACCAAGCTTGGCTTGGGGAGTGGCATGAGGGAGAAGGCTGGAGTGACTTGGATAAAACAAGAAAGAGCACATGTTGGGGGTGGTGAGCGCAGAAGCCGTGGGCCCATTGACTCCAGTGACAGGAGGACTCACGATGGGGTTCCGGAGCAGACTGATTCAGGACCGATTTTAGGGTGTCGGCGCGGGGTGGGGAACACACCTGGCAGTCGTAGAGGCGCGTGAGCTGTTCCAAGATCCACTCCTCCAGGTTGAGGCGCTTCCGTAGCTCCTTGCGGTCGTACTTGACGGTGACCTTCCCTTGGCGTCTCACTGGGCCCTCGTCGTCCGCGCCGCCCGGGCCCTCGCCTGCGGCCCCAGGGGGGCTCTGAAAGTAGACGCGGGGCCCTGGGCCACTACTGCCTGGCCCTGGGGCTGGGGCCGCTAACGCCGCGCCCCCCGCGGGGCCGCTGTCCGCCATGGCGGCCGCCGGGGCCACGTGCGCGCGTCGGGCCCCTCCCTGCGCCGCCGCCTCCCGGACGCCCGCCGGCTGGCTCCGGGCCGCTGGGCTCGGGCTAGCTCACCGGCTCGGCTCTGCGCGGCTCCGCGGCGAGGGCGGCGGCGGGGGCGCCCGGGGGCAGCTGCAGCATGCGGAGCCCCCGGGCCTGGCCTGGCCGCGCCCGCCCCCCCCCGCCGATCCGCCCGCCCTTTGTCCCCCGCGGCCGCCGCCCGAGCCGCCGCCGCCGAAGCCGCTTTCTCTGTCTCGCTCTTTTCCTCCGCCCCCCGACCACACCCCCTTAAAGGGCCAGCCCCGCTTCGGGCCCCTCACCCCAACCCCGCCTCTGGGGAGGGTCTAGTCAGCAGAGGAGTCGGGGTCTGATTGTCCGTAACCCCCTAATTTAACCTTCTGGCCCCAAACCCAGGCGATCTAGGCATCCAGTATCATGGAATGGTACGTCCTCCAGGACCCGGTCCTCATCGGACCTTTTCTTATTCTGTTCTCATTGAGATAAGAACAGGGGCTACCTAGGCTTGGAGTGAGATGGGCACTGTGGCAGGGCGGGGGCCCAAGCAGGAGACGTGGGAGACTCTGCTATCTGGGGAGACTCTGATAGCTGGGTCCTACCACCCTTGGCCAGCAAGGGGCGAGCGGGCTTCCCCGCGCTGACCCACACGTGGACCGGGCTCTCGGGGGTGGAGGAATGGAAAAGGCGGCAGACGCTGTCCAGGTGTCCGGACGCCCTTCGGGAAGGTGTTCCATGCCCTTTACGGAGAAGGCTGGGTGTGTGGGGGGGGGCGTGCAACTGGCCTCCTGACTTGAAGAGCCAGACCCAAGGCAGCCACCGCCCACCCGCCGAGATGGCGGCCGTGCGGGGATTGTGGGAAATGTAGTCCGTACTGGGCCCGCGAGGCCGCCCCTCGCCGCGGGGGGCCGGGGAGCGCAAACTTGGCCGGGCTGGGCTGGGCTCAGCCCGAGCTGCCGGCAACCTGATCGAGTACAAAGCGGGGGAACTCCCACAGAAGGTGGGGAAGCGGGACGTACGACAATCAAGGTAATTAATAATAGCCGCTGACCCGGAACCCAGAATGAGCGTTTATCCAGACCACTGTCGAGAGCGAGCTAAGCCAGCAACGGACCGACACGTTTGTGTCTTTCCACAATGTCCGAATTTATTGAATAACAATAAATTCACAAGCTGCATCTATTTCCTCGGCTTTAATTCACCAAGTACTCCTGATTTCATTTGGTATTCGTGGCCATTGGTAACCACAGGTTCTTTTATTCCAATTTTAATTGATATTAACTCAATGTCATACATTACACCTCACATAACGACATGTGTGGGTGACGAATGGGTAGAAAAGGTTAGGAAAGCCTCTTGAGCATAGAGAGGCTGCAGGGTTCAAAGTACTCTGTATCAGGCAGAGAGAGCTGTTACAGATGCAAGGAAAAGTCCCTGCAGGGAACCCCATAAGCAGTTTTGGGAACCTGCAGGGAAGCAGGTAAGTGCAGAGCTGTTCAGGGCTGAGTTGTCCGATGCAAGTCCAGGTGGCAAGCTGTTTCCAGTGTCAGTTTGAAATGGGCCAAAGCCCAGAGACACAGGTGGAGGCACTTCACTGTGCCAGTTCTCCTGGATGAGGCTTGTGATGAGTACCAGGCACACATCTCAGTGGGGTGTTCCTTCTTTTATATGATCCAGGTGAGGGGGGGTTACATTTAGTGTGATTAATAAGCTCGTATATCAAGTTTTTTAAATATGGTTTGGATACACCCATGTGTCCATGTGTTCCTGATTTAATTTGATAAGTTCATAGGTAGCAATCTTTTATTTGCATAAATAGTTATTTATCAGTCTGCCTCATGGTTTATGCTGGATGGATGATGGTTATTTACTTGTGCAAACAAGATGAAGAGTTATTCTGCCTTAGCATTTGCACTCAAAATGCAGCAAACTGCTGTTGTATAAAATGGAGTCACTCAGGGTAAGCACAGGCCTGAAAGCTACTGTTCCATACAATACGGAGTCACTCACAGCAGGGCCCAGCCTGATCTCCACCCCCACTCATTTGGTTCCACTGCAGGGCATGGCACTCACTTTCCTGCGGCTCCTCACCCCACAGGTCCTCTGTGCTCTTAAGCAGGCTATTCATCTGTTCTCTCGCTCTGATTTTCTGTATCTTTTAATTGTCTCCTTCATTCATTTGTTGTCTCTCTTCCATTTCTAATTTGTGAGCTCCTGGGGCTCAGAGCTCTGTAGACTTCATTTACTAAAGCCCAGGCTTGGGTCAGCCTGTGCCTCCTCAAAGCCACATTTTCTAGGAAATTACTTGCTCCCTGCAGAACCCCAGCACCTCAAAGTGTCAGACCAGGCAGCTCCACTTTATTGACTGAACAAATGACTGAGTGAAAGAATGGTACAAACTAAATAGGAAAGTTAAATTCCATTCAACACCATAGAGGTTAAGTCACAGGGTTAGGGAAAGGGGGAGTAAGATTTTTGAGCCCGGGCTGTGTAACTCACGCTGCTTCTATGCAGGGTCTCTACTCATTCCCCTCCTCCCCCCTGGATGCTACCTAACAAGGTCTTACAGCTCCATCTCAGACTTCCATAGCTGAAAGCTCACCCTCTTTAGTCCTCAACAAAGTCTCGGGTTTCCAAAAGCAGTAAGTCCTGGCCCCTACACACACCATTTTTCTGGATGCTGGAGGCAGAAGCCCTCTGAGCAGGTGGGTTCAGAGAGGGGTAGAGATTGGCCCAAGCTCACACAGATATTGCTGCCTCTAAACTTGAACCCAGGACTTTAGGCTTTTTCTTCATTCTATAATTGGAGAGCAGTAATAGAGAACAGAGGAATGGTGTGTGTGTGTGTGTGTGTGTGTGTGTGTGTGTGTGTGTGTGTGTGTGTGATGAGGTGGACTTCTTGCTGAGCAGGGGGGAGCAGGCTCCAGAGCACAGTCCAGGGGAATCATAGAGTGGGAGTCCCCTCTCTCCCCAGCCTATCCCCCGGCTGGCTTAGTGGCCCTTCAGCAAGACTGCAGACACTGGGAACACTGACCCGTGGCTCTTGCTGGTTAGGCAGGACCTGCCCACCCGCAGCCTGGCCTCCTGCTCCAAGCCTGGCCTGATGGGACAGTCACTTTACCCATATCCAAGTGCCCCACTGTGCTCCACCTTACACTACCAGGACAGGTGAGCTCTTCCTGAATCCCAGCATTGATTGGGGTCTTGGGGTCCTCAAGGATAGAGGGAAGGACACACTTGAATGGCCCCCAACTCCATCCCACAGCTCTGCCCCTGAGCACTGACCTGCCCTTTCTTCTCCCCCTTAGGGATGATGTAAAGGTCACAGTTCAGTCCAAGTGTCAGGCCCCTTTCTGAGGCATGCCTTTCCTGCCTTTCCCTCTGGCCACCTTCTGTGCCATCCCCAGATTCCTGTGGCCTTCCCTGTCCATCTAGTTTTTTCTCATGACCACCTGACCAGGGCACAGGGTGCAGATGGGCATGCTGGCCTACTGCCTTCTTGGAGGCAGTTCTGCCCTGCCCAGCATCCTGGCCTGCAGTGGAAGGACTGAATTAAAATCCTGGCTCTGCCCACTAGGCTGAGAGGTAGTGGGCAAGTCACTCACCTCCCCTGCGCCTCCTCGGGCGTCTGAGTGTCCTGACCTCCCTGTAGTTGGTGGCCTAGAGCTCAGTGCTCAAGTGCCTGCATCCCAGCCATGGCTTGACTGCCTTGCTTTCTCACAGGGCCCTCCAGCGACTGGAGTGTGTGGCTGCTCTCATCCTTCCAGCCTCAGGCTCTGGCCTCCCAAGTCCCACCCCTCCCAGGATTCTGGCCCCTTCCCACCAAAGTGCAGCTAAGGCTGCTTGCAGCGCCTTGATGAAGCAAAGGCTCTGGGGAGGGTCCAATGGGTTAAGACTGCTCCCTTAATCGAGGGTAGAGGCCAGAAGGGCTGCCTTTCTTCCACCATTACTGCTTGCTGAGAAACCCCATTACCATTACCAAGGATGGAAAAAAAATGTCCAGGAGGAAAGAGGCCTCTAATGGGTGGCTGCCCTGGCCTCAGGAGACTGAGGGTGGGGGGAGAAGAGGCCCTGGCCCTGCAAACAGCTTCCACCCTGTTTTCCAAGGACTGCCGTGGGATGCTTCTCTGACGGCCCCTTGCCTGAGGCCTAGGGTCAGACAGGGTCTGAGGGTTCGAGGATCGCTTGTCCTGGAGCTGCTCTTTCCTCCTTCCTCCCTAATGCCCCCATAACTTTCCACTCTTTGAATTCATGCTGCTTGTCTCTACCTCCCACCCATGTTTCATCTCCTGATGGTTCTTAGCTTCTGGACAAAATGAATGACACACGGAGAGATTCAGTTCCACTGTTTGAGAGCACTGGACTTGAACCCAGGCCCATGGGACAGAGGCCAACTTCCACCCTGCAGGGTTCTGTTCTCCCTATGAGATTGGGTGGTCCCTGGGTCTCTGAGGGAGATGCTTGTGGAGCCCTGGTGAGAGAGGACAAGGATCACAGGTCCTGCCCCCCTTTCCTTGTCTCCTGCAGGGCAGCAAGTAGAGGCGGCAGGCAAGTCAGAAAGTCAGAGGTTGAACTCCTCCAAGGAAGCTGTATAATCTTGGGTAAGTCCCTTCCCCTGTCTGGGCCTCAGTGGTAATCATAATCATACCCCACGGGGCTACAGCCAAAGGTAAGGAGATTCAGCCAACATGGTGAGGATTTGGAGGACAGTACCAGGCTCCCCGGAGGGTCTGGAAGTCTTGGGTACAGGGGCCTGCAGGGCAGCTCCTCCTTGGCTGACCCCTCCTCCCCCAGAACAGCTCTAACTCTTTCTGGGTTTCTAGGTGACTTGGCTGGCCCCTCTGGATGAGTTCTACTTTAAACCTGCTGCTGCTGCCGCCTCTGTATTGGGGGGGCTCCCACAGGGGCCCCCAGGCAGGAGCCCCCCCAGCCAAGCCCTGCGGGAGGGGCTGCAGTCCCCACCCAGCCTAGTGCCCATGTGCCTTCCTCTTCCCTTCCTCCCATCGCTGGAACGCTGGAACACAGATTTCAGGGCACCTGCTGTGGGCCAGGCACTGGAGAGTCCCTCCTTTGGTGGCATCCATGCGGCTTCTGGCCCCTCTGGGCAAACGACCAGCCTTCACATAGCAGTTTTCAGTCTAGAGGCCCTTGGGGACAGGCTTTGGTCATAGGGTCAGCAGCACAAGGAGGCTGTACTGTAAGGCCAGAATGTCTGGGTCCTCAAAGGAGGTGGCAGGTGCCGAGCATCCTGGGGCTAGGGACGGGGGAGGGGCGCCTGCCTGCGGGAGGCCCATTAGCCAGCTAAGTGCTCCCAGGGAGGGGGGACCTAGCTGCAGCAGGAGGAGCTGAGACGAAGTGAGGGCGGGAGTAGGGTGGGGGTCGCGTTTCCTGCACTCAGCTAAATGCGACAGGAGCTGAGCCGGGACAAGGCCCTGCGACCCCCGGTCCATGTCCTGCCCTCCACTAGTACTTCTGTCATCTCCAACTCAGAACCCTCGTCGGCCTGACTGCCCATCTTAAGCAGCGTCCTCAATTGCACCCCAACAGCCCCGTGGTCCCAATCACCTTCCCCTCACGCCAGGTTCCCGCAGACAAAGGTCCTGCCGAGCCTGCCACTAAAGACCCCCCCCCCGCCGCCCCCATCCATGTCTGCTCCTGCCCCATCCCCCCTGGCTGCAGTCGCCGCCCCAGCCGCCAGGGGGCGCCGACGCAGGGCGGGCGCGCCAGACGAGGTGGGGAGGGGGCGGTGCCTCCCGGCGGGGCGGGGCGGGGGCGGAGGCGGGGGCGGGGCCCCGCCGCCGAGGCTCCGGTCGGTCCGGGACAGACTGGCGGGCGGGCAGGCGCTGACGCCGCGGGATTGGAGCGGGCCGCGCGGGAGCGCGCGGAGGGAGCAGTGGCGCCGTCGGTCCCCGTCGGGGCTCCGTGGGTCCCCGAGTCGTCCCTGGCTGGGCCATGGCGGGCGCCAGGCCCGGCGTCCACGCGCTGCAGCTGGAGCCGCCCACCGTAGTGGAGACCCTGCGGCGCGGGAGTAAGTTCATCAAATGGGACGAGGTAAGTGCCGCGGCCGCCTGCTCTGTCCAGATCCGGGGACTCCTTCATTCACGCTCAGTCGGATGCCGGGGATCCGCACTCCAAGCCTTGTCTGCCCACGCCGCCCCCCGCCCCCCATTCCAGCCTAGCTGCACTCCGGAAACTTGAGTCCCTGTCGTCCCCGTAATGAAGACTGTCCCCCCAGCCCAGTCCCTCAGCTCTGATAAATTGGTGTCTCCACTCCTAGTGGAGACTTTGAACCCCAATAAATCCCGTCCCCTCTGCACTCGCCCTTTCCCACCCCTCCCTGCCAGACTAATTCTGTTTTCCCGATCCCGGTCCCCAGACCCCTGCGTGTCGCTGGAGTCCCCGGCCGGCCCAGGGCATCCTCATTCTGGGTGGGTGTCGCAGGGACCCTCTCTTCCCGGGGCCGTGGCCTGAGCAATCCTTTTCCATTCATCACTTTTCTTTCTCTCCCGCCTGGCACCCCTGCGCCCTGCTGCTTGCTCCGGTGGGAGCACAAGTCACCCCCTAGTGGAGACTTTGCCCCCCAAGTTCCTCCACCCCAGGAGAACTTTGCTCCCCACTCCTTAGTTTGGGGACTTTGAACCCCAATAAATTCCAGCCCCTCTTTTCTACCTGCCCTGCCTCTAGTGCTTCCCAGATGCCCAGGCGCCCACCTGCGGCTGCCTATCCTAATTCTGAGCTCCACCCACGTTTTCATACTGTCCCCTCCTATGTCCCCTGGGCCCCTCCTCCCCAGGGCGTCCACCGTGCGGCCAGAGCTTCCTTGCTATTCCTTCCCAGTCAGGCCACAGGCCTGGAAGACGCTGGGTTCCTTTCCGGCTGGGTGGGGCAGGCGGGGGAGCTGGGGGGAGGGGCTGGGGGCGTGGCCTCAGCGGCAGGTGTGCCGGCTAGGGGTGCCAGGGCACCCTCGGCGCGGGGAGACCCCCTCCCCCCAGGCCAGCCTGAAGGGAAAAGTTTCTCCTTTTCCTTGCAGTGTGATAAATCCAAATAAGGAAGTGGGAACCGGGAAAGGGCCCTGGGGGTGGGGTGGGAGTGCTGACCAGGGCTTGGGACTGGACAGCAAGGGGCCTGCACAGGCCACCAGACCTCTGGAGAGGGACTTCATGGGGAGCCTGAGGGCGGTAGCCACAGAATTCTCCCTCATCGCTGTACTGGAGGGCCTTAGCCCCTGGGCAGTGTTGGGAATCCCCAGGAGGGAACTGGGGCCTGGTGCCAGGGTTGCACACTGGTGTGGGAGGACCATACAACCCAAAGGCTTGGGGGTCCACAGTCCCCCTGGTCCCCAGATCAGTCGCTTTTCTTTGTAAGCAAAGCATGCATGGGCGGGGCTGGTTCAATCCCCATTCTCCAGAAGAGGAGACTGAGGTCTGACAGGAGGCTTAGTCCAGGCCTCACTGCTGGGGTTGGGGCTAAGACCAGGAGCTGGCAGTCGTGCAGGAGCCTTGGCTCCCTGTTTCCCGGGTCATAGGACTCTGGAACTGTACTGCCTGCAAATCTGGGCTCCTTTTTTTTTTGGGGGGGGGCGGGTTTTGCTATGTAGCCCAAGCTGCCCTTGAACTTTTGATCCGCCTTCCTCAGCCTCCTTGGCGTTAGGGTCTCTTCTTGACCTTGGGCAAGCCATAGCCTTCCTATGCCTCAGTTTCCTTGTGTAAGATGGGGTGAAATGGTACATCTATTTCAACTTTGAAGGGTTGTTAGGAGGCCAAAGTGGGCTCCTGGATATTAAGTGCTTCGAAGTGCACCTGGCACAGAGTGGGATTGTGAACCATTGTATGTTTGGTGACAGGATTGTCCTCTTCTGGCTGGAGGCACATTCTTCTGGTTAGCCACCTGGCCACTCCAGCCCTAGCTGAGTCTCAGCTCTTTTTTTTTTTTTTTGTGAGACTGAGGTTTGACCTCAGAGCTTTGAGTTTGCAAAGCAGGCGCTTCACTACTTGAGCTACACCTCCAGTCTATTTTGTACTGGTTATTTTGGAGATGGGGTCTCTTTGCTGAGACTGGCCTCAGACTGTTTTCCTCATGATCTCAGCCTCCCAAGTAGTTAGGATTGCAGACGTGAGCCACTGTCATCGGCGAGTCTCAGCTCTTGAGGACACCTCTCTGTCTGCTGGTCCTGAGTCACTTGGGGTGGCTCTGGGAGTGTGCCAGGGACTGGGCCCTCAGCAAATGGGGATGTTGGCTGCTGGCTTCCCTCCCTTTGCTGGTCACAGGGCTGTTCGGGAGACGATGGAGCTCACTGCTCAGTCCTGCTGTGGACCCTTTGGCTTCTGTAGGATGTTGGTAGGCCTAGAGGCCATGAGGATCTGAGGTGCAGGGTGCTGGATGATGCACTTTGTGGCTGATTGGGTGGCTGGCCAGCCATTGTGGGGCCCCAAGGGACACAGAAGAGCTATAGGGTGAGACGTTCAAACCCTCTGCCTTTACCCCATAAACATTCTAATCCTCATGGAGCTCTCAGGACTTGTGGGGAAACTGACCCCAGGATGGGGTTGGGGTCTCCCCAGCAGGCAGCTGGATTTTGTGGGTAGAGAAGGAAGGCAAGGATGGCCTACCACAGAGAACAATGCAATGAAAGCTGGGAGCTGGGGAAAAAGTAGCTAGTGGCCCATGTGACAGAATCATAGGGCACAGAAGGTGAGGCTGGGAGGGGCCTTGGTGCCAGAACACTGAATGTTACACTGAGGACCTCGTCTTTGTCCTAAGGAGAACCTATAAGCTGGGTGAGGCTTTCTTTGGGCTCATTGGCAGAAATACTGGGATAGAGCACTAGAGGGGGTCCAGGGTCTAAGCCTGCTGCAGCCCTCTCTCCCTGAGCCTTGTTGTCCTGTGCTGTCCCCAGGAGGCCTCCAGTCGGAACCTGGTGACTCTGCGTGTGGATCATGATGGCTTCTTCTTATATTGGACGGGACCCAACATGGTGAGGGCAGATGCTGGTATGGTTGGCTCAGGCCTGGGCCCCTGTTGGAGACCCCCCCTCTGCCCGCCCCTCCCTGTACTGGAAGTGGGGCCCAGCTGCTGGCTGACCTCTCCCAGGCTCCCCAGACAGGAAGTGCTATGGGCGGGGGCTGAGGCTGGGGCCACAGCCAGGGGGTGACCACTCCCTGGCCTGAGTGGGGAGTTTGGGGGCTCCTGTTCTAGCCCTGCAACCCTCCTTTGGCATCTGGTTTCCCCAGGAGGTGGACATACTAGACATCAGTTCAATCAGGGACACACGGACAGGTCGCTATGCCCGCCTGCCCAAGGTAAGTGATGGGATCTGGGACTGAGGGACAAGGCTGTGAGGAATAGGACATACTCTTCACCCTTGGCTCTCACTACTTAGGACCCTAAGATTCGGGAAGTCCTGGGCTTTGGGGGCCCTGATGCCCGCCTGGAGGAGAAGCTGATGACGGTGGTGGCTGGCCCAGACCCAGTAAACACCACATTCTTGAATTTCATGGCCGTGCAAGATGACACAGTCAAGGTGGGCTGGGACTGAGGGACCACCCAGGGGAATGGCTGCCTCATTTTCTGGGCACCTACTATTCCAAGCTATTCTCTGACTTACTGTGCACCAGATCCCATTCTGGGTGTGGGCTGTGGCTGGGTAGTCCCGCTGCCCCCTGCTCACATTCTCCCCCGATATTGCCTGCACCCTCCCAGGTCTGGTCCGAGGAACTGTTCAAGCTCGCTATGAACATTCTGGCGCAGAATGCCTCCCGGAACACCTTCCTTCGCAAAGCGTGAGCTCTGGCCCACCCCAGGGGACAGTGGGGGTTCAGGGGGCCCCTCCCAGGCTGTGACCCTGCACCTGCCTCCCCAGATACACAAAGCTGAAGTTGCAGGTGAACCAGGATGGCCGGATTCCTGTCAAGAAGTGAGCATCCCTCTCCCCACAGCATCTTCTCTCCTGACCCAGCCTTTGACCTTTGCCCCCCCCCACTGACCCTGACCCCTCCCGCTCACATCAGCATCCTGAAGATGTTCTCAGCAGACAAGAAACGGGTGGAGACTGCGCTGGAGTCCTGTGGTCTCAATTTCAACCGGGTGTGTAGGCCAGGGGTAGTGGTGGAACAGGCTTGGATCTGGATGTAGGCTCCCTCTCCTCTGGGGCTCGTTGACCCTAAGTTCACCCCACACTCCTTCACCCTCAGAGTGAGTCCATCCGGCCTGATGAGTTTTCATTCAAAATCTTTGAGCGGTTCCTGAACAAGCTGTGTCTGCGGCCAGACATTGACAAGATCCTGCTGGAGATGTGAGAGGGCTAGGCCCATCCCTCCCCGACCCCCACATCTTCTCCCCAACCCCCACATCTTCTCCCCTGTCCCCATGCTCCCCTGTCCCCATGCTCCCCTGTCTGACTTCTGCTTAGTGTGCCTAGCAAGAAGGGGCGCTGGCAAATAGGTCCCAGAGCACTGAGGGGAAAGGAGGGGACCTCCCCATGATGTGTCCATGCTCAGAGCAGAGGTTTTTGTAGCTCTGTGCCAATCTTTGCCAGGGTTGGTTTAATCAACCCACCCCACAGATGAGAACCAAGAGGCTCAGGTGCATTGTGGGGCCTGCCTGAGCCACACAGCAAGCGAGGGCTGAAGTGTGTTGGATCCAGAGTCTGGAAGCACAGTGTGGTGGGCTGAGCGTTTAGCGGCTGACAGAGCCAGAGCCAGAGCCAATGCCAGCTCATCTGCTGCCCTGACAACCCCGAAGGTGGAGCTGAGGCCCAGAAGGGACAGCAACTTGTGGAGGCTGGAGCTAGGCGACTCCTCCTCCCAGGGTGAGGGTGTGGCATGGATGGGGTGGGGGTGAGGCTCCAGCCTGGCCAAGCATCTGGGTCCCTCCAGAGGTGCCAAGGGCAAGCCATATCTGACGCTGGAACAGCTCATGGACTTCATCAACCAGAAGCAAAGAGACCCAAGACTCAACGAGGTGCTATACCCACCCCTGCGGCCCTCCCAGGCCCGGCTGCTCATCGAGAAGTATGAGCACAACAAGCAGTTCCTGGAACGCGGTGAGTGCTGGGGGCACGGGAGGTGGGGGTGGCTGAGGAGGGCTCAGCTGACCTGCTAATGCCCACCTCCAGACCAGATGTCCATGGAGGGATTCAGCTGCTACCTGGGAGGGGAGGAGAACGGCATCTTGCCGCTAGAGGCTCTGGACCTCAGCATGGACATGACCCAGCCTCTGAGCTCCTACTTCATCAACTCCTCACACAACACCTATCTCACGGGTAAGCAGGAGGGGCGCACCAGCACCCGTGCTTTCTGTCCGTTGCCTCTGGTCCTTGCATTGCCTTGCTCTTTCGGTTCTTGTTCATCAGCCAGTGCTGGAGAGGGGGCCAGGGAACAGAGAGCCTGCTCCAGGAACAGGTGTCTCTGTGGGTTGGATCCCAGGGATATTGGGAAGGGGCTGAGGGCACACAGCTGGGGTTGTGGAGAGATAGCCTGTGCAGAGGCCTGGGCAGGAGACTGCTTAGTGGGGTCAGAAGGGACTGGGGGAGTGTAACTCAGTGATAGAACTCCTGCCTGGCATGTGCAGGAGCCTAGGCTCAATCCCCAGCACTGCCAAGAAATTGAGGCAGAAAGATGAAAGGAGGCCAGGGGGCAAGGTGGGACACGGGCTGGGGACAGATACATGGAGAAAGAGGTCCAAAGAGGGAGGCAGGGCCAGAGGCAGGCCTAGAAGACCTCTGGACTCATTCTGAGTGGGACAGAGGCTTTTTGGAGGGCACAAAGCAGGGGAGGGGAAGTAACCTGGTATGTTTTTAGAAGGCTGACGCCAGGTACTCTGTAGACAGTGGATGGGAAGCAGGAAGCCTGCAGTCGGTCCCCCAGGCAGGAGATGGTGAGGCCAGGGCAGAGACGGGCACAGGAGTGGAGACAGGGAGACCCTGGAGAGGTCCTGGGCAGCTGTGGAGGCTGTTGGGAAGAGTCCATGTGTTCAGGATTGGGGGCAGGTGGGAGTTGGGTATTTATCTGAGAGATGATGAGCCTCGGAGGAAGAGCCAAAGTGGCTGTGAGCATCGGCACATGCCAGCTCTGTGTCTGCCTAGTGTGGACACCATGGCTGGAGGCTGGAGGCAGGATGCAGGCCCTACCCCGGGGGCTCCTGACTCCATAGTGAGTGAAGGAGTGGCAGGGCTGGCCAGCTTGTGGCAGGGCTGGACTGGGCTGTGCAGGGGCTTTTGTGCCCCAGCTGCCTGGCTCAGCACAGAGCAGGGGTGGTGATGGGGCTGGATCAGAATGGTGACGCAGCTTCACCCCCAGCGGGACAGCTGGCCGGGACCTCGTCTGTGGAGATGTACCGCCAGGCATTGCTATGGGGCTGCCGCTGTGTAGAGCTGGACGTGTGGAAGGGGCGGCCCCCGGAAGAGGAGCCCTTCATCACTCACGGCTTCACCATGACCACTGAGGTGCCACTGCGTGACGTGCTTGAGGCCATTGCTGAGTCTGCCTTCAAGACCTCGCCCTACCCTGTCATCCTGTCCTTCGAGAACCACGTGGACTCGTGAGTGGATCCTGTCCTGGCAACCTCAGATATGATGGGGGACCCCTGAGGGACCCAGGCACCTCCTTCCACTATATTCTGGTGACCTTCGGCCCCGGGAACCCCCACCCACCCTGTGGGCCTCTGACCTGCCCTGCCCCAGCTTCCCCCAGGAGCCTCTGACCTCTGGCCTTGGCCCCACAGGGCAAAGCAGCAGGCCAAGATGGCTGAGTATTGCCGCTCCATTTTCGGGGACGCGCTGCTTATTGATCCACTGGACAAGTACCCGGTATGGGGGCTTAGAGCTAGGGAAGGGCATGTGAGGGTTGAGAGTCCTCAGCAGACCCTGACCTGTCCATGCCCACCCAGCTGGCTCCTGGCGTCGCCCTGCCCAGCCCACAGGACCTGATGGGCCGCATCCTGGTGAAGAACAAGAAGCGGCACCGGCCCAGCGCAGGCGTCCCCAGCAGTTCCGTGCGCAAGCGGCCACTGGAGCAGAGCAACTCGGCGCTGAGCGAGAGCTCCGCCGCCACTGAGCCCTCCTCACCCCAGCTTGGTATGGCCCACCTAACCTCTCACCTTACCCCCCAGCTGCTGCACCTCTTGGAGTCCGACTCCACCCACCTGGCCCCCCACCACCTTGTGCTGTGTGTGACCCCAGCACACACACCTCACCCAGCTCCATCCAGCCAAAGACCCCTCATTCCCCACCCTCACAGAGCCTGTGCCCCAGCCAGGGTTGGGCTCTGAATTCTGAACTCTGCCCTCAGTGAGCATCCTACCTACACTTCGGGTGTGACCTTCAGGCCCCTGACTCGTTTTGTGATCCCTACTGACTCTACCCAACCCAGTGGTTATAATTTCAGCTGTCCTTTTACCCTGTCACTCTATTGAGGTTCCTCTTCATCTGACCCCTGCTCACCTCACTGAGGCCTCCATTGGGTATGGCTCTGACTGAAGCTGACCTATAACCCTATCCTGTCATCATTTACTCCACTGTTAAGGCGGTTATATCCCAGTTCCTGACTTCTTGTCTTTTTGTTCTCTATAACTCTGGACCTTCACCTTTGACCTGTGACCCCCCCCCCGAACTACCTCTGCTTTTCATGCCATCTGACCCTGACTCTGCCCTCTTGCCAGGCCACTGCCCTAAGAGTACCCATGGCTTCCCTCCGAGCTGCCTTCACGCCTACTAGGCATAACTCTTGGGCTTTCTCAGCAGCACTGATGTGTGGTCCTCACCTCTGACCCTGACCGTGAGGAGCTGACAGAGGAGGATGAGGAGACCCCAA